ATTGTAAACCTGCTGCAGAGTAGGTGTAACAGCAGTGCAAACCATGTATATTATTTTCATTATTGTTCAATGAAGGGTAACAATTCCCGTATGCAGTTTTTTCAGTGTGTGCCAACCTCATAGCAGTGCTTTTCCTTAGGATTCTCCAACCCAAACAAAACTTTCATTTGGTATCAGAGCCACGTGAGTTTTTAGACCAAAACCTCAACTCTTCAAACACAGCTCAACTCGCTATGAACGCTTGGCTGCCACAAGCCAGTTATCCCTGTGGTAACTTTTCTGACACCTCTAGCTTCAAATTCCGAAAGTCTAAAGGATCGATAGGTCGCGCTTTCACGGTTTGTATTCATACTGAAAATCAAAATCAAACAAGCTTTTACCTTTTTGTTCCACACGAGATTTCTGTTCTTGTTGAGCTCATCTTAAGACACCTGCGTTATGTTTTAATAGATGTGCCGTCCCAGCCAAACTCCCCACCTGACAATGTCTTCCGCCCGGAGCAGCCCGCCGAGACGGGCCTTAGGTCCAAAAAGAGGGGCAGTGCCCCGCCTTCATGGCAACAAATCCAACACCTCTTTCTCCACCTATCTTCAATGGTGAGCAGTACCATATTTGGGCTGTCAAAATGAAGACCTACTTGAGAGCCATTCCTTATGGCAATATGTGGAGGAAGAGAGACAAATCCCTCAACTTGGAGCAAACCCAACACTGAATCAGATTAGGATACATTAAGAGGAGGTAGCAAAGGCTCTAAGAGCACTCTCCTGCATCCATTCTACAGTAACCGACCAGGTCTTCTCCAGGATAGTGGCATGTGATACTTCTAAAGAAGTTTGGGACAAGCTCAATGAGGAGTTTGGGGGAAGTAGCCAAACCAGAAACATGCAGATCCTAAACTTGAGAAGAGAGTTTGAAGTGCTCAAAATGTAAGAAACTGAAAATGTCAAGGAGTATGTGGATAGATAAATGAATGTTGTAAACAAGATTAAGGTACTTGGTGAAGAGCTGACTGATTAGAGGATTGTGGAGAAGGTTTTGGTTAGTTTACCCCAAAGATTTGAAGAAAAAATCTCCTTACTTGAAGACTCTAAAAATCTGTCCCAGATCAGCCTAGTTGAACTTGTGCATTCCCTTTAAGCACAAGAACAGAGGAGGCTACTGAGGCAGGAAGATTTGGATGAAGGAGCTATGTTTGCAAGCCAAAAAAGGAAGGGATTTCAAGGTGAAAGCAGGAGGTATGCTGGAGAGAAGAAGGGAAAAGAAAAGGTGAGTAATCAAGGATGAAAGAATGCGAGTGCAAAAAATTTTGCTCCTTGTCCTCACTACAAGAAAAAGAACTACTCTGAAAACAATTGTTGGTTCAAGCCTAGCATACAATGCAGGTCTTGTAAACAATTTGGACCCATTGAAATGGTGTGTAAGAAAAAAGGGAATCAGTAGGAACAGCAAGCTCAAGCAATGGAAAGTTCCCAGCAGTCCCAACAGACACAAGAGAGTGCAAAGCAGCTATTTGTGGTCTCTGAATGCATGCTTGCAAGCAGCCCTGATGTGTGGTTGATTGACAGTGGCTGCACCAACCATATGACCCTAAATGCTAGCAATTTCGTGAACCTAGATGAGGGTTATCAATCCAAGGTGAAGGTGGGAAATGGTGAGCTGTTGGAGGTGAAAGGCAAAGGTGCTATAGCTATCCAAACCAAAACAGGTACTAAACTCATAGTTAATGTTTTGTTTGTGCCTAAAATCAGTTTAAGCCTACTTAGTATAAGACAAATGTTAGAGAAAAAATATTCTCTGCATTTCAAGGACCTCACTTGTGTTATTTTAGAAAGTGATAGGACTGAATTGATGAAGGTTAGGATGCAGGGAAAAAGCTTTCCTATAGAATGGGGAAAACTTGGTTTTCAAAACCACTCAGCTAGGATAGATGATTCAGAGTTGTGGCATAGGAGATTTGGACACTTTCTTTATCATGCCCTCAAGGAACTCAAACACAAAAACCTTGTCCATAACCTACCCGAAATTGACCAAGGTGAAGGATTGTGCAAAACCTACCAAATTGGCAAACTCAATAGGCCTCCATTCCCTGCAAATAAAGCTAGAGAGCAAGTGAAAAGCTCCAGCTTGTGCACACTGATGTGTGTGGTCCAATGCAGCAAACTTCTCTAAGTGGGAGTAGATACTTCATCCTTTTCATAGACGATTACTCTAGGATGACATGGGTGCATTTCTTGAACTAAAAAAGTGAGGTAGCTGCTGTGTTTGAAAGGTTCAAATTGCTGGTAGAAAACCAAACAGGTTTGACACTCAAGTCATTGAGAAGTAACAATGGTGGTGACTACACTTCCAATGAGTTTGAAGAAGTAAGCAAAGGGGCTGGAATATGGCATCAGTTCAGCAATCCATACACTCCACAACAAAATGGAGTGAGTGAGAGGGAGAATAGAACAATGATGGAGATGGCAAGGTGCATGATGATTGAGAAAAATTTGCCAAAAATTTTCTAGGTAGAAGCTGTCAACACTAGGATCTATCTCCTAAATCGGTTACCAACCAAAGCTCTAGACAACAAGACTCCCTTTGAAGCCTGGTATGGTGTCAAGCCAAATGTGGATCACTTGAAGGTATTTGGAAGTGTGTGTTATGTTTTTGTTCTAGCAAACAAAATGATCAAATTGGATGAGAAGGTTGAAGTAGGCATCATGATTGGATATAGCAGCCAATCTACGGCTTACCGAATTTACAATCCAAGCACCAAAAGGATTGTGATTAGTTGGGATATCAAGGTTGATGAAAGAGCTACTTGGAATTGGGAAAAAAGGCAAGTTGAGAAAAGGACCAGTAGCCAACATGACATAGATCCAGAAAATCAAAATGTAGAATTGAATCCTGAGGAAGTGGATGAAATGCCAGTCCATGAAACCAGGGCTCTTCATGACATATATAAGAGGTGTAATGTGGCTGAATTGGAGCCTACAAGCTATGATGAAGCTGCAAAATCTAAGGCCTTGAAGACTGCAATGCATGAGGAGATGAATGTGATTGAGAGAAATCAAACTTGGGAGTTGGTTGATAGGCCACTTGACAGGAGAGTAATACAAGTTAAATGGATATTCAAAAGGAAGCTGAATCCTGATGGATCAGTGAACAAACTCAAAGCTAGGCTGGTTATTAAACGCTTTTCATAGCAATTTATGGTTGATTTTTCAGAAACCTTTGCACCTGTGGCAAGGCATGACACCATTCAGCTTCTCTTGGCAGTGGCAGCTCAATTCAGTTGGAAAATCTTCCAACTTGATGTAAAGTCTGCATTCCTACATGGATGGCTTGACGAGGAAATCTACATTGAGCAACCGAAGGGGTATGAAGTTAAGGGAAATAAGAAGAAGGTTTATCTCCTTAAGAAGGCCTTGTATGGTCTCAAACAGGCCCCTAGAGCCTGGTATAGCAGAATTAATGACTATTTGTGTAAGCTAGGATATGTTAGAAGTCCAAATGAGCACACCTTTTATGTAAGAGAACAAAGTGGTGAAGTGATGATAGTCTCTCTTTATGTTGATGACCTTCTGGTAACTGGAAGCAAGCTTGATCAATTGGAAGAATTCAAAAGAGTAATAGAGGTGGAGTTTGATATGACTGATTTGGGTGAAATTAGCTACTTTCTTAGCATGGAAATATACCAAAGCTTAAATGGTATATTTGTGTGTCAAAAGAAGTATGCAAATGAAGTGCTGATGAAGTTCAATATGGACAATTGTAGATCAGTTGATATTCCTCTAATTCCTAGCCAAAGGCTGAGTAAAGAAGATGGCACCAAGAGGGTGGATGAATGAGTCTATAGAAGCTTGATAGGATGCTTGCTGTACTTGACAGCAACCAGGCCTGATTTGATGTACACCACCAGCCTCCTGTCCAAATTCATGAGCAAGCCAAGTGAGGTGCATTACAAGGCTGCAAAGAGGGTGCTACAGTACATTAAGGGCATTACTGAGTTAGGAATCTGGTTCAGAAGAGCTGAAAAATTCAGCCTAATTGGGTATTCAGACAGTGACTAGGCAGGTTCTGTTGATGACATGAGAAGCACTTCTGGATATGTTTTCTTTGTTAACCATGGTGCCTTCAGTTGGCTTTCCAAAAAACAAGACACAGTAGCTCAATCTACTGCTAAGGCAAAATACATTTCTGTCATAGCTGCTATAAACCGGGCAGTCTAGTTGAGAAAATTCTGGGAGATTTGAGGTTGAACCAAGGTGAGTCTACTACCATTTATTGTGATAACATGTCAGCTGTTGCAATAGCTAAGAATCCTATTCTCCATGGTCGAACTAAACACATTAAGATCAAATACCATGTTGTGAGAGAGGCAGAACAAAACAGAGAAATCAGTTTGGTTCACTGCTTCGGAGAGAGCCAAGTTGCTGATATTATGACCAAGGGATTGAATAAGTCCAAGTTTGAAGAATTCAGACTCAAACTTGGAGTTTCCAGCATAAATATCAAGGAGGAGTGTTGATCAAGCTGATATCATGCTGGAAATTGCATGTTGCATGTCAACTTTTTGGAATCTGATGCTGCAAGTTTGGCGGCAAAGTTTAAATGTCTGCTGTAGTTTTTAGGTTCTGCTGTAAATCTTTGGAGCTGGATTTTTTAATCAATGTAATGTTAATTTAGATGAATTCAGCTGTAAATCAGCTGGTTAGGTGTTTTTTAATGTGATGTGATTGTAGTAGTTTATTTTGATTGTAAACCTGCTGCAGAGTAGGTGTAACAGCAGTGCAAACCATGTATATTATTTGCATTATTGTTCAATGAAGGGTAACAATTCCCGTATGCAGTTTTTTCAGTGTGTGCCAACCTCTTAGCAGTGCTTTTCCTTAGGATTCTCCAGCCCAAACAAAACCTTCATTATTACGGAGCATTATTGTATTCTTGTGCTCCTTGCCCTCATCGTCTCCAAGTATACAAGAGGGGATTTTTTTTATTGAACAGAAACCTGAGATATGATACTGTCCACCCCTCTTCTAGAAAGAGAACAAGAGCAAGATATTGGTAATGGTAGGCCGTTGCCAATTCATGAAGAAGAGGATGGAATTGCAAAGAACCTTGATGCTGGTGCTCTTTTTGTTCTTAAATCAAAAGGTAAGTGCCATATATAAACACTTAAAGCGCCTTGATAGCTCTTTTCTGCTCATTTTCTTATATAAATCCTCATGCTACGGATACAATCACCATAACTTAGTTTTTATTTTTGTTCTGTTACCATGTTTATATAGAGAAAAAGGAAAATCCAACAACTGGGTTTGAATTGAATGATCAATGAAATACAGGATCATGGCTGCACTGTGGTTACCACTTGACAACTTCAATTGTTGCTCCTTCTCTGCTGAGCCTTCCATATGCCTTTGCTTCTCTTGGATGGATGGCTGGGGTTTCCTGTTTGGTCATTGGAACTCTGGTCACTTTCTACTCCTACAACTTGATGTCCATGGTTCTTGAACACTATGCTCAATTGGGTCATCGCCACCTTCGGTTTAGAGACATGGCTGTGCATATCTTGGGTAAGAAACCTTTTTGAGGTCAATTTTTACATCAAGTTCAGCTTCATAACAGTCTTATTGCAATTCATAAAACTAAGCTAGATCCTAATTGAACTTTCTCTTATGAAGTTGAAAGAAAAATCATGAACCATGCATGTTAGAAATGGCTGCAAAGGTTGCCAATTTTTTATTCATTGGAATCTTGGCAGGGCCTAAATGGGGTTGGTACTATGTGGCACCAATTCAATTCATAGTCTGCTATGGTGCTGTTATAGGTAATACTCTTCTTGGAGGACAATGCATGAAGGTAATGCCCAATCCAAGTTTTCTATAGTATTTTGATTCGTCTCCTTCCAGAACAATTAAACTATCCTTTACTTGTTTCTCTCTTTGCAGACAATATACTTGTTGTCAACCACTGATGGAACTATGAAGCTTTATGAGTTCATAATCATATTTGGATGCTTAATGCTGATTTTAGCTCAAATCCCATCTTTTCACTCATTGAGATACATCAATTTGATATCTCTGTTTCTATGTCTCACATATAGCGCTTGTGTCACTGCCGGTTCTATTTACCTTGGTAATATTTCTAAAAGAGACCACATATCTGACCAGAATCACTTTTACAGTAAATAACCATAGTGATGCTGGTTGTTTAATGATATCTTGCGAATTATGGATTACTTTTACCAGGAAATTCGTCCAAGGCACCAAAGAAGGACTATTCACTGAATGGTAACACTGTAAGTCTCATTTTTGGATTCTTCAACGCCACCGCCATCATCGCGACAACATATGGAAATGGAATAATTCCAGAAATTCAGGTTAATTTGTGCAATAGTTGGGACAATGCTTTTCTACTAAATTTGAGTAACCAGTTATGGTTCTTGTTAGAATATAACTAAATCTCACACAGTTTTTGCTTGTAGGCCACATTAGCTCCACCAGTGAAGGGTAAAATGTTCAAGGGGCTATGTGTATGTTATGCGGTAGTTACAGTAACTTTTTTCAGCGTTGCCATCTCTGGCTATTGGGCATTCGGCAACATAGCAGACAGTCTCATCCTAAGCAACTTCTTGGAGGATGATAAACCTTTATTGCCAAAATGGTTTATTCTTATGACCACAATCTTTATTTGTCTCCAACTATCAGCTGTTGCGTTGGTATGATAACATATTTATCTCCCATTTCACTCCCCAGAAAAATTCTAGGCTCCAATGTTTTACTAGTACTCTGTTTTGTACAGGTCTACTTGCAGCCCACGAATGAAGTGGTGGAGCAAATATTTTCCGATCCAACAAGCAATCAGTTCTCTGTTCGCAATGTTATTCCGAGAGTGATGTTCCGATCAGCAACGATTGTCATAGCAACAACTGTAGCAGCTATGCTTCCATTCTTTGGAGACATCAATTCGTTAATTGGAGCGTTTGGTTTCATGCCTCTGGACTTCGTCCTGCCGATGGTTTTCTTCAACGCTACATTTAAACCATCGAAGTTTGGCCCCATTTTCTGGTTAAATAACATAATTGCAGTAGTTTTCTCAACGTTCGCGGCTATAGCAGCAATTGCAGCTGTTAGACAAATAACCATTGATGCCAAAACTTATCAGTTATTCGCTAATTTATAGAATAACGATGACAAATAACAAAACATAATATTTATATTTATATTTATATGAATGAATTATTTATATGTTATAAAATTAAGACCTCTAGATCATTGTAAGATGATCTGATTATCCTCCAACACAGTTTGTAGTCGTTTAATTTTTTATTGGAACGACTGGGTTTTGTAATTGTTTAATTTACGAGTTCCACATATGCTTTATATCTGCCATTCTGCCTTAATATGTGTGATATAAATGGAAAATTCCCATCAAAAAAATGATGGCATCTTCATTGAGGCCCGGCCCACGTGCACAAATTTCTACTCTCCCATATTATCTTTAAGGTACATTAAACATTTTATAATAGAGTGTTCGGGTTAGTTTATGCGTACCACAACTAATCTCGATTAATATTTGAGATCTCTTGAACACCTTACAAACTTAACGTTCTAAAGTAAGTTATAATCATAAATGTGATAGGTGACCTCAAAGTAATTTAAACTTAAAAAGTCGATAAAAAGAACAAACCTTTTTTATTATCAGGTCAATCTTTTAGGGTTTTGATACGTGTACTTTTTATATAAAATTTGGATTATTTAAAATTATTATTTTTATTTATTGACATATATTTTTAGAATTTTCAAACTAATTTTGATTAAAGAATATTGAAAGTTGAAGACGTACACTACCTTACCGACTTAATNTATATATAAGAAAATGTTTCAAGGTATCATAGAATTCAATTAATTAATGGAGCTTCTAATGCATATATAAGAAAATGTTTCAAGTGCGTTATTTTTTAAAAAGATATTTGTTTTATAATAAATCCAATTGGAATTATATAATTTAAAAATTGAAGTGCTGATTTCATTATTATATATATTTAAAAATTGAGTGCTGATTTCTCTTCTTACTTCAGTAATGTAAATTTCTTCGTTTCAACAATATCAATAACTTATATATAATAGAGGGGAAACGACTTACACCTACCCAAGGTTTGGCGAAATGATGATTAATATCCAAAAGGTTTCAAAACAACAAACAGGTACCTTCCGTTAATGAAAAGACTAGAATGCTCTTTGAGAAATATTAGTCTATTTTTTTAATTATTTTAGACCCCTTAAGTTTATTAATTCCATCAAATACCCTCAGAAAAAAGTTTAAAACTTAACAAAAACACCCCCATCCACCCATACTTGCCAGATTCCGGCGGCCACCACCGGTGGTAGCCTGAATCTATCACAACGGTCTACGCCACCACTAGAAATGGCTGGTAATTCACCGATCTGGCCTTTTTCGGCCAGATCTACGGCCAGATCTGACCGTCGACGGCCGTAACACTCCATCTTTGGTCGTCAGCGACGACTAAAGATGTGGCCGTCGTTGACAGTCAACGATGGCCATTTCTTTGGCCGTCAGTTTCTGGCCAGATCTGGCATTTTCATGTCAGATCTGGACTTTTCCGGCCAGATAGGCCAGATCTGTGAATTACCAGCCATTTACGGTGGTGGCGTAGACCGTTGTGACAGATTCCGGCTACTACTGACGGTGACTGCCGGAATCTAGCAAGTATGGGTGGGTGAGGGTGTTTTTGTTAATTTTTAAACTTTTTTTCTGGGCGTATTTGATGGAATTAATAAACTTAAGGGATCTAAAAGTAATTAAAAAAATAGACTAATATTTCTCAAAGGGCATTCTAGTCTTTTCACTAATGAAAGGTACCTATTTTTCGTTTTGAAACCTTTTAGGTACCAATCGTCGTTCCGCCAAACCTTGGGTAGGTATAAGCCTAGTTAGTAAATACGGGTACGGCAAAAAAAGGGTATGGGAATTTTACAGGTATAATACGACAAACGGTGAAAAATACGTTTATAAAAATTCGGCCATAAAATTCGGGTACGGAAAAAATATGATACGGGTATATACGGGTTTAATACAGTGCATTGTCAATAATACGTTTTGAAAAATACGGCAATATCAATCTTAGTTTTAATACTTTTATGGATTACCTGGTTAAATAAGCTTATTCTTTATGTTAAATAACCTTAAATAAGGTTAAATAATAATTATTATAAAAAATAACTGATATTCAAATTGTAGTTTTCAGACTCAAACACAATATTTAGCCATGATTCTTTACTAATTTAAAACTTGATAAGTTTGATATTAAATGCAACCAATTTTAACTTCCCATTAATCCATTAATATTAAATCAAGAACTAAAATTTTGTCTCACAAATCTATATAAAATATTAGTGTTACAATACCCATAATATATGACTTTAATTGTTTATCATTTATTTATTTATTTTGATTCAATAAAAGTTAAGACTACTGAATTACTAGGTTGAATATCAGTTATTCTTTATAATAATTATTATTTAACCTTATTTAAGGTTATTTAACATAAAGAATAAGATCATTTTAATATCATTAATTCAATCTAAAACCCCTTTTCCAATCTCTTCCCTTACAAAAGAAGACAATATAATTGTATTTTTATAATAATTATTATTGGGAAACCCCAAATATTTTTTGTTGGGTTAATTAGTATTTTATTTCAATTTTATAATCCCATGTTACTATACGTCACAGATTGCTTTGGGATTTTGAAATTGGACAAAATAATTATATCTTGTCCCATTCCACTCTTCTTCTAACGGCTATTTAATTTTCACTGATATTTATTTCTTCTTCCCCATCAAAACGACGTCGTTTCAATCAGCTCCTTTTTTTTTTTTTTCAATCATTCGCGAATAATTCGCGTATAATTCGCGAATTATACGGATATCCAAAAAATTCGCGAATAATTCAGTAGCCATTTAAAAAGTATGTAAATATACGTTTTATATGCGAATTATACGGCTGGCCATATAATTCGCGTATAAAACGCGTATTTACTAACTAGGGGTATAAGTCATTCGGCCTATAATAAATAGCTTTTGTGCTATATATATATATATGAAAGTTGTAAAATTAATGAGCTTTTATAAAGACTGTGATATTAGTTTTATTCAAATAATTAGTGCACATAACATATGAAGCTTACTAAACCAGTATTTAATTACCAAAACAATATTTATTTTATCCTAGTTTTAGTGATTAAATATTGACTAAACTCATCCTAGTCTTGCCATTTTTCACAAAAAATTTGACCTCGGCTGTAGCCCGGGCCATGTAACACTTGCTTCCGCTCCAGAATTAAAATCATTATAAAAAATAATACAGGAGCTCATCCTAAATCAACTAGACCAAAATATATTTTTCCACCCTGATTTTACTGAAATAACATTTGCTTATACTTTGCCACCACAGGTGAATAAAAAATTACAAAATGCCAGCCAAGGTTAGCCTTCGTCTATGGAATATTCTCTTTGAATTGATTTAACGGTTGGAATACCCCCTTTATCAAATAAATTAAGAAATTATTTTACAATCCTTCCTAAGTTAATAAAATTAATGAATAACCACAAATGTTCTCAATTTCAGCACTAAAACCCTCTTCTTCACCACTTACATCTTTACACCACAACACAAAATAAAAAACAAAGCTCCGGCGAAATGAGGTAAGCATACTTTATCTCTCAAAAACAAAGAGAACAAAAGCAGCCTCATCTATCCACAAGGACTTAGCTGGATGGTCAGATTTGTGATTTGTTTCTACAAGGTTTGGGATTTGATCCCCTCATAGAAACCTATATGACAAAAAAACTATATTTAACAGTTTCCTGACGATGACAGGGTTTGGTGGGGGGAAGCTCGCATAGGGATTTCAACAAGCATATAGAAGTGTATTTTTTTCTTTCCCTGTTTTCCTCTGTTTTTCACTCTGCAATTTAGCACTAGAAAAACAGATTAATGGCTACAGATATTCATTCATATTGTGATATGCTTCCATGTCTACCTTTGGCCACATGACGACATTCTTTTAACTCGACATTGCCTTCACCAAGGCTAGACTTAAACTCTCCTTTATTTCAACCCATGTAAACATCCAATACTCTGAAATTCCATAAAATTTAACTTCCCAGTCAAATTTAGTAGATCTCCCATTACCAATTTTGGATCATAAACTCTTGCCTGAAGGTGCTGAGGCAACCATTGATATTTCATTCGCATAAAATCCCATACCTTAAAATCTTTCCTACAAGAAAGATAAAATATATTTTTTATATGATTATATTATTATGGCAACTGAAATCTTTTGAAACTTCAAGTGAAAATGATGGAGAGTTTCTATGCATCACTTCTAATATTTCATGCCAGAAGCATGTACCGAAGAAACTCATTGCTTTCTCATCAGGGTTATATTATACATGTTTGAAGAATGTTGAAATCTATGTAGTTATGAATCAGAAGTTCACTGATCCTAAACTTTTTAAGATTTGGCACGACTATCATGGTCATCCAGGATCTACTATGATCTGTAGGATCATAAAAAACTCACATGGGCACCTATTAAAGAACATGAAGATTTTGTCACCTAATGAGAGTGTTTGTATTGCTTGCTCACAAGGCAAATTGGCTCTTAAGCCATCCATCACTAAAGTTGGTCCAGAATCTTCATCATTTTTACAAAGAATTCAAGGGGACATATATGGACCTATTCAACCACCAAGTGGACTTTTCCTCTATTTTATGGTATTAATTGACGTATCGGCACGATGGTCACATGTTTGTCTGCTATCTACTCGTAATGTTGCCTTTGCTAGATTGCTGGCACAAATTATCAAATTATAGAGACACTTTCCAGATTACCCAATTAAAGCAATCCGTTTAGACAATGCTGATGAGTTCACCTCAAAAATATTTGATGACTATTGTACAACAATGGGAATTGATGTTGAGCACCTAGTACCACATGAACATACCCAAAATGGTATGGCAGAGTCATTTATAAAGTGTATCCAATTAATTGCAAGAACTTTGCTTTTATGTATGCAATTACCGACTTCTGTCTGGGCTCATGCTGTTTTACATGCTACGGCGTTAATTGGCCTAAGACCCACTGCATATCATCA